ATCTTTGCTGCAATACATTTATTTTGGTCCAAGTAGTTAAGGATTTTTTTAAATTTCAAAAAACAGAAGTAAATGTTTTTTTAATATTACTTTATCTCTTTTGATTAATGGTGATACTACACTAACTGATAAAACACATTGACAGATGTAAGGCCAGTATAAAAGTCGCAAGATCTATTATTTTTAAAATAAATGTTTGTATACAAGTAAATTGCAACAACACGATTTGTTTGGATTATGTTTATATACAAATTTGTCTGTTTTCATAGTAATAACTGATGTGGTTGAAGTTAATTTTTCATATAAATCTTTATTTTTTTATTTCGTGCTGAAGTTCTTTTTTAAAGTTATCAATTTCCTTTTTTAATTCTTGATGCTCTAATAAAAAACAACGCTTAGCATTAAATTCAACATAATTTAGGGGATCATTTCTTAAAAAATTTGTATTATATTTACATTTAATAATATCAGTCTTTGAGCATTGTAACCCAAGTTAAACGAAAAATATCGATTTTTTAACGATAATGTTCTTTCAGGAAAATCGTCTGAACATGTTTTCGATCTCTTGAAAATTCTACCCATCTAGTCGGAATCACGTGACTTATTGCGCAACAAAAGTAACCATATTGAATGTAGGGAAAACAAATCATTACACCTTAACGCAAAGATAAGAAAGCGCTCGAAATAATGTCGTTCAATTATTTTGAAAGTTTATCAAAAGAAGCAGCAGAAAGATATCAGCGAAAATTAAGTCTTTTAGGTGATTATTTTTCATTTTAATTTACTTTTTTAAATAATTTTCGTCAGAATAAACGAAAATAATGCATAGCATTTTGATCGTTTTAGGATTGGACAAGTTTCCTTATAAGTACCCGGCTGATTCTTGGACTGAAGATCCAAGTCAATGGCCTTCCTTAAGTTATCATAATCTATATCAATACCTGATTAAGACTCCATGTAAGAAATATTTCTAAATAGTTGTTTATAAGTTATTATATATTTATTAAGTATTATAAATTTATTTCCTAAATCCTAAAAGTATGTTAGTTTTCTCAGTGAATATTAATGTTTGCTTACACTTATTTTAAACATTCAACACTATGTAGGCATCTATTCTCCAGAAGCTATGGAAAACTAGAAGTCATTGGAGGCATGGAAGTTCTTTCAAGAAGGTTGGGTGCAAACTGTTGTCCATATGAAGATAAGTCAAGATATCATGATCTTAAAATGTGATGTTAGACCTTCTTACAGAACCACATCCCCTAATCATAAGCCTTGGATTGCTCTTGGTTCACTTGGTAATGTAGTGACTGCTCACTGTAATTGTATGGCCGGGTGTGTCTGGAGAGCGCTTGACTATAATAATTTAACACTAAAAGTTATCTTGTTTTATTTATTTAAATCTGTTGAAATTATTTAAAGGTGTTTTTGGATTATTTAAATCTATGGTTTATTGTTTTTAACAGCCTTGGTGAAACATGCTCACATGTAGCTGCAACATTATATAAAGTTGAAGCTGCTGTTCGCATTAAAAAGACATCGTCCACACCAACTAATTTACCATGTCAATGGAATCAAACATTTGTAAAAAATATTCTTGGTTCCCCAGTATCTCAAATAAATTTATATTCTGATGCTTTTTAATAAATTTATATTCAAAATTGCCTTTATCTCTCAGAAATTTTTTCAATGCAAACTATAAATCTCTAGATAATGAACAGTCAAATTCTTTTTTTGATGAGAAAATAAAAGATTTAAAATTAAATTCTGATGACATTGTCTACGTTGAAGAAGCAACTCGAAATCAATCTTTGTGTGATTCTTGGTATCAGGTACGAGTCGGACGAATAACTGGTTCTACTTTGTATCAATTTTTTCATGCTAGAGTTGAGACACCACCTAATTTTAAATATTTGTTCAGAAAAGAATATGACAATAAAAAGTCCTTCAATAGTGTGGGGAAGAGAAAATGAAAAAAATGCATTGACTTTATATACACAACTTTATTCAGACTGTAATGAAGCTCATAACTTAATGGCACTTTCAGACATTGTCATCCATCAAAATTTAAAAGTTGAAAAATTAGGGCTTTGCATCGACTATGAAAAACCATGGTATGCAGCATCTCCTGATGCTTCTGTGTATTGCATTTGTTGTGGACATGGAGTTTTAGAAATCAAATGCCCTTTTAGTTTATAAGACAAATCTTTGAAAGAAGAAATACTGAAAGATGTTTTTTATGTAGGATTAATTACGGATGGGAAATATTTTTTACAAAAACAGCACACATATTTTTTCCAGGTTCAGCTTGAAATGAGAGCTTGAAATGGTATGGACACTGGGTGTCCATACCATAAAAACACAATAGCTCACTGGAGTGAGCTATTGTGTTTTTATGGTATGGACACCCAGTGAGTTTATAGTTTTACGTATTGAACCTGACATTAATTTTATGGAATCGGTGTTTAATAAATGTGATGTTTTTTGGAGTAGATTTATTTTGAGGGAATTAGTAACAAGAGAAGTTGAATCAGGAATGAAATTGCCCTCTTCTACATTAACAGAAACCATAAATAATGATGATAATGTTTTTTGTATTTACAAATCTAAAAGCTCAGAAAATGATGATGCAATGGTCGGCTGTGATTCATGTGATAATTGGTTTCATCTTAAATGTATATCTTTGAAATCTGTGCCAAGATTGTCTGTATGGTATTGCAATAGCTGTAAAAACAAGAAAAAGTCTGCACACAAAAACGTAATTATTTTTTATAGTTTTAGCAGCAAAAAGTTTTTTTTTAATAATGCATTTTTTTATTATTATCTTCTTAGAAACCAATACATCAATGGAGCAGTATTAATGCTGTTCTCTTTATCATTTTCATGATATTTGTTGTTAACATTATTATGCTGAGAAATAGAATGGAAAAATCATAATTTGAGGTGAAATAAAGAATATCCCATTTTTAAAAAACGGCTATTTTCATAGCCACATATTATTAAAAACATTAAAGCATATGATATAATATTGAAAAAACTGTTACAGATTAACAAATAATCAAACTCTTCCTATTCCCCGAAATCTCGGTGAATAAGAAGAGTTTGATTACCTGGTCTAAATAAAAAAGAAGTAAGGCGGTATTTTTCCTTAAGTTAATCGGTTTCTTTTTTGGAAAAAAATATTTTACCTTATTCCTCGGGGGAAAACATTTTGTCGTATTTTATGTTATAATATTGTTTTAAACCCAGGGGTAATTTTTTTCCGGATATTTTTCTAAATTTTATGTTTTTCCGGATATCCAAACTGTCTGACCTATATATTATTTGTTTGTATTTTTGTAATTTATATATACTTTATTTGGTTTTTCATACAACAATATAAAAAAGAAATAGGAAAGTAAGAGTAAATATATAACGGATTTTTTCCGAATATACAACTGTTTATACACAACTGTTTACCGGATTTTTAAAATATGACTTAGATAATCACTGTAAACTATCGTTGTTCAATGACGGCTCATGTATGCAAGATTAGTAATGAAGGAAGCGTGAAATAAATACTGTTACGCGGTGCTCTATAAAAAGACCCTTAGCACTTCTTGGAGCACCTAAATAAACAAAATCTTATTTATCAATGTTATACAAAAAGTCTAATGCGTGAATTGAACTCTCAAAATACTAATGATAACAATGTTTCTACTGAATAGATTCCAACAATATATTTTTACGCAAATTTACTCATAATCAAATTTAGGAAATAAAATTCTAGTAACAAATTATTTTACTAAAAAATCGTATTAACAAGTTATTACATTTTTGATAAAGCGGAATCGAAATGTATTTTCATATTTAATTCAGACGCCGGTCGATATTTTATTCATTTATATTTTTATGTTGTAACGACATAAAGTTGTGGCTCGTTTTTTTCAAACCTAAAAAATATTCTAATCCGTATTTCGCACATTTATTAGGTTAGGTTTATTTGGTTTATAAATATTCTATTAAACTTATTCAACACACCTTCAACTTCAACTTTAAAGAATGGACTAGTTTTCATGATCATTTTCCGTATCGTATTGTATTCTATACCATATACGTTTCGTATTGAATAGTGAAAATCCTTATTTACAGGGCTGCTAACAGCAAAAGTAGATCCCAAATGTATTTGCGGTCTGAAAATATGTACCACGTAATGCAGAAAGGCTTCTCCTTTTTCCGGGGCACCAGGGACGATATACATAGATCATCCAGGTAATATTTAAAAAAAAAAAGGAAAATTCTTTGCGTAAAATATCCGGAAAAAATGCGGAATATTTTTTCTTTTATTTTCCTCATAATTTGCTTTCAGCTGAATTGTATCTTAATTTTTTTGAAATTGAACGAGTGATGACTAAAAAGCCCCTAAAAATCAAATATATTACCTAAACATATATATAAACTTGTATGTATAGAAAACCTTTTGGATATCCGAAAAAACTAAATAAAATATCCGGAAAAAGATAATCCCTGATTATACATTGATCATCCGGGTCATATTTTAAAAATTAGGTAAGATATCCGGTATAATCCGGATTATAATTTCCACTTTATTTTGCTATTACCTGAGTTGATTTCCATTTTAATTTTAGTATGACATACAAAAATTACTAACTTTAAGTTTTCCCAGATATCCTAAAATTTTCCAGAAATTAAAGCTGAGGTATATATTTTGGAAATATATTTATTTTTATGCTATTTCACTTATCGCTAATACAGTATGAGCAATAAGTGAAAAAGCTTGAAAATAAATATATTTCCAAAAGATATACCTCAACTTTAATTTCTGGAAAGTTTTAGGATATCTGGGGAAACTTAAAGTTAATAATAATATCCGAAATTCCAAATTTTCCGGAAAAAGAAAATCCATGAGTACAACTCTTGTACCACCTCTTGAGGTCCTTTTTGTCAAATAATGCTTTTATTAAGATATGGGGCTATGAAAATAGCCGTTTTGAGAAAATTTAAACGATTCCTTCACCAAGGTTTGTTAAAGCAGCACAAACTGTTACAATTTTGTCACAATTAGAAAGAGTAACTGAGGTAGCTTCATCGGTAATGTTTTTAACAGTTCGTAAAGGCAATACACCTTGAAGAATGGTGTAACGATTTTTCAACAGCCCAATAACTCTTTCTATGTGAATTCTAACAGATGATATTTTGCGAGATTTTTCTACCTCCGAAGCAGAAAGTTGTGCTTTATCCTTTGTAAAAGCTGGATTTATTAATATAGAGCAACTTCCAGCTGCAAAATCGTCTTGTAAAGTAAAACCTCTATCTGATAAGATTTGATCGCCTGGCATATGGTACTTGCTAGATGCAAATTCTGATTCCAGAGTTATTTGATTGTCAGAAGCTCTTCCACCATAGCATTTGGAAATAAAGTTAATCGTTCCATTAGGTGTGCATGAAATGAGACATTTTATTGTACAATGTTTTTTATATTGGCTGTAAAATAGTGCTCTTGCCATTAGAAATGATGGTGATTCCACAAAAACCTCAAAACAATCAATAACTGATGTTAGTCTTGGGAATTTGTTTTTGAAAACAGGAGGAATTGTTTCGTATATATGATCTCGATCTTGCATTTTTATTAAATATTTTAATTTCACATACATAATATCAATCCATTTCCAAAAGTTATCCAAGGCAGTAGTTTTTTTAATATCAAACATAAACAATAACATATCAAAGTTAATGTTGTGCCTTAATTTAACTAAACAGAAAACAATTTTATCTTCTGTATTAAATCTTTTTAATGAACTTTCTGGAGTTCCTTTGCATAGGAAACTCAACAGTTTTTCTAATACAGGAAGATTAAGTCCAGTGAGCATATTGCACTTATCAGGATTGGCTCGAGTTTTATTTATTCCTAAACTGCAATTGCTATCTTTTAATGATATCCACTTCGACATAAATAAATCTCTTTCTAATCGAAGATTATTTATTTCACTATATAGTTGTTGTCTTTCTGATGTTTTAAGAGGTATTTCAATATCAATTTCAGATTTTTCAGTATAACTCATTTCTGACTTTAAAGAACTATTGGTTGAACTTTGCTGAACATTGATGTTTACAGGAGCACTCTTACCTTTAAATAAGAAAAAAATACAATAGATATTTTAAATTTGCATATGATGTTTAAATAACTTTTAAATTAATACCTTGTATATAACTCTTACTGGAATCTTGAACATAAACATCTTCATTAATTATAGGAACACTAAATTCTGAAAAATATTATTAAACTATTTTTCAACTTTTACAAAATAAAGATAATAAACAAAAAATAAACAAAATTACAAAAACAAAAAATACAAATAGAAGTTAAGTTAGAAGTAATTGAAGACCTTAGTGCTAAAAAAAACTTAATTCGCACAAATTTTTTTAAAGAAAACATATTTTAAACTTATATTTGTATAGCCATTTTATTTTTATAATTAAATTTATGATGGTCAACGTTCAAAAATAGCTCTAGTAAGTATAGAATTATTAATTTCTGAAAAATTGTTAAAAAGAAAAATCTAAAACTATGCAAAAATGTAAATAACTAAAATAAAAAATTAATCAATACCATGACTGGAAGATTGTTCTAAAAAATTTTCGGAGCATATAGGATTACTGATATCAGATTGCTGTAAATAATCTTCAGTACTAACTTGGATATTGATTTCTGTTGAGTATGAAATACATTTATTTTATAAAAATTTACTGGAGCGGTTTCATAACCTTTACAAGATCTACATGATCATTATTAATTATAACAAAAATTATACAAATTTAAATTGTAAATACCTAAATTTAATAATTATTTTTTCAAACTTACCTTCTTTACTAAAACTCCTTTTTTCAATGACAAAATCAACATCCTCACTAATTGATTGAGCACATAGTTTTAATAATTTGCATGCAGGAACACTTATTTCTAAAAAAAAAAATTAAACAACATCAAAGTAATTATTTACAAATGAATTGAAGCAAACAATAATATTTACTTTGTCTATTTATCCTACTACTGACTCGGTTAATTTTGTTATTGTTGGTATTTCTTTGAGGAGAACCTTTCATTCCAGTATCAAAAATTGATGGAACTGAATCTGGATGTTTCTCAAAGAGCTCTCTTTTACCTGAAATTTTTGAACAAGTAGTATTTATTGTAATTCATTTAGTATATAAAATCAAATCTTAATAAAAGTTGTTTACCAGTAATAAAGTGTGCTGAACAAACATAAACATTTGAAGACGTAGGAGACCACTGTTTTGACGAAGTGCTATCTGCAGCACGATTAATTGCATTTAACCATTTTCTTCTGACCGCTTCATTCTTAGGAATACGATAAAATTTAAGTTCATTGTTTTTTTTACAATTGTTTGTCCAACCTACAACACAACAACTCCTTGGCATTTTTTTGTCATAAAAAAAGTTTAAAACGCTGTTGATATTTATATGTTTGTTTTCCCTCCATTCAAGATGGTTAATTTATTTCGCAATTCGGCGTGACGTCACGCCGACTAGACCCGACGGGCATTTGTTTTAAAAAAGTTACGATCTAAATGTATTTTAAATGTCTTTTAAACGTCTTTTAAACATTAACGTTGAAAAGACGTTTAAAAGACATCATAAACACATTTAGAACGTAACTTTTAAAAACAAATGCCCGTCGGGGATGGATACGGTATAAGTTCAGTATTTACATTTTTTTTTCCATTATAAATCTCTATAACTTTAACCGTTGAAATAATGTTTACAATTTTACTTCCATTTCTGCGCGCGCATAAATTGAAATAATGACGTTGAAATAACGTTAAATAATCAACGTTTAAACTGTAACGTTGATTTAACGTTGAAATAACGTTAAATAATCAACGTTTAAACGGTAACGTTGATTTAACGTTGTGACATAGTTGAACAACGTTGAAACAACGCTTCAACCGAATTTCAACGTTGAAACAACGTAATAATGCCGGCTGGGATATATATATACCCAGCAAACAATAGACGTCTTTTAGACCGTCTAAAATTGGTCTAATTAGTATCTATTGCCGATACGTATATTTTAGACGTATATTAGAGATCAAAAAGACGTCTGGATCTAGAGATACTATTTTTGCTCTGTTTTAGATGCATATTAGATGCATAAAATAGATCGCGCATAGATAATTTTTTTTCATCTAAACTTAGATGTCTATTAGATGTCTTATATAGATTTGTTATAAAAACAAGAAAAAAATATAACTAATTTTACGGAGCAACAATTATAAATGACCGCCATTTAAAAACCATGCTTAAACATATTACGAAAAAAGCATGAAGATTTTAACCTATGGAAAACATTAATGATTACTTCTTTTGATAAATTTTAAATAATAAAATAACATGCTATTATAGTTCACAAAATATTTCGATGATTTGATGCTTAGCATGTTCGCTAAAATCCTTGTGATTTGAAATTTATTTTGCAGAAATATTACAAAATTAATATTTTCAAGTTGATATTTTTTTTTCTAGAATAAAAGATAATGTAATAAAAATATATATATATATATATATATATATATATATATATATATATATATATATATATATATATATATATATATATATATATATAAACTCATATAAGAATCTTGGCTTCTCGATAAAAACGATAAGTGCACAACCAATAAAACAATCTTTGTGTTATGGAAAAACACTCATAATATGAGTGTTTTTCAATAACACAAAAGATTGTTTTATTGGTTGTGCACTTATTGTTTTTATCGAGAAACCAAGATTTATTTAAGTCTTTTACAAAAAGGGCATACGAAAAGAGACGCAGTAGACGTGTCCAAAAAGAATATTAAAAAATACTAGAATTTTCATCAGTACATATGGAAAAAAAAACGAATGTTGGAACTTCTAAAAGAAATGATTTCTTATCTTGCGAAAATCTAAAAGAATATTTTGACCATCATGAGTCAGCGATTTTGTACAATGAATACTCTTATGACCAAAAGCCTAATGAGTATAAGTATAACCCAACTTTAAAGGAAAGTTTTTCTGCATGTTTTTCTAACCAAGTAATTATGCACTAAACAAGTGGATTGACAAAGAATACCAACAAATTTATTGTCCAAAAAAAAAACTATAATCATGCACTGAAAAACAACCTTTTGTCAACAAAAGAATGGCACAAATTTCCATTGATAAAGTGTAAGATAACAGATAGTCAGTATCTAACTTGTTTTGTATATTTTTTAAAGGTAACTTAATTACTTTTTTGTAGCAAAATGTTTTATAATTAGATTCATTTTCATGTTGTGAAGAATACAACTTTCTACATCAGATGAGATATATGTTAAAGAAAGCATTAAAAATAAGAATAAAAAATCATACCGCTCTTCATTGCCAGAACCTCCGCCACCTATTATGAATAAACCCAATGCTAAAAGTATAACATAATTATCATAATTTTTTCTAAATTGTTTATAAACTGAAATAGATTCTTGTTTAATTTGATCTGAATAATATCTATCTAGCTATTAGTCTTTTTTATGTATTACTAAGATTTTCCTTTTATTTTAACTATTTGGGTGTCCTATTATATGTAATGTTGTTAAGATGGTTACATATATTTATATCATTGACAGCATTCTGATGTATTAAATAATCCTTTAATCAACTTGATATGAAAATTGAAAACTGATTGAAAGCATGCTCAAGTTGTTTGAATTCAGAAATTGAAAGAGTACAAAATTGGTTGAAAGATTAAATTAAGTAACAGGTATGGTTGAGGGATTATTTATAGTTCTAATTATAATTATTTCTTTTGAATAGAGTTGTTATCAGGTTCAAAGATTGAAAAATATAATTTTTCTTCACATTTTACTGATGAACACCAAGCAAAGTTCACATTGTCAAAGAGTTTTAAGTTTTAATGTGAGTAATTTTGGTTTTTACACTACTGAATGTTAATGTGGAGGTCTTTTTTATTAATTTGCTTTTGTATTAAAATAATTGTAAAAGATAGGTATAAAAGAATAGAAATGGATTATTTATAATATTGTGATCCGATAAATCATGTGTGTAGCATTTTATCTTTAGTAGTTTTTTTAGTAAGAATTTTAACTACTACTTTTAGTAGTAGTTAAAATTATTTAATATCGTAGCCTTTTACAGGATAAAGTTTTAGCTGATTTAAAAAGTAGGTTTTCCAAAATATTATGGCAACTTCTGCGATGGAGTAATAAAAAAACTTACATGTGTTTTTGGAATTTTAGTTTAAGTTACTCAAGCATAATTTGAATTTTAAAGTTCTTATTTCATTGTTTTGCTATTTGGTTTTATGAGCTAAATATGTTAATCAATCTTTTTATTCTTGTTTGTAGAGATTCAAAATGTTTTTCTCAAGGAGCTTGCAGAAATAAAAGTTCTTTTAAAAGAAGTTATAGAAATTAAGTTCTAGGCTACTGGGGTGAAGTTGCTAGAATCGGTGGACGAAGTGGTTACACTGGATAATAAACTAAAAGATAAAACCATGTATACTAACTTGGTATAATCTAATTATCTTAGTTTTAATAAGTTTGTTTAAATTTGGTTTATTAGTTTAGAATCTAAATAAAAAGTATTTGTAAATGAACTAAAATAACTAGCTTGTGTTAGACTCAATATGTTGTAAAGAAATTTAAGTTACACTAGTTTTTATTACATTTATTACAGCTTGATAGTTTAAAAAAGATTGGTGGTGAAAAGCCAAGAGAACATGTTTTTTTGATCATGTAAAGGTAATTGATTTTGTTTTTATTAATTATTAGAAATATGATTAAAAGGGACCAAAAGCAATTCTTTTTGACCGTTATTTGTTATGGATTTACTTTTATCATGACAATTTGATAAACTCGGGAGCTTCGCTGTAGGTGTTTAAGTTTGTTTGTGTGCTAAAGTAAGTGTAATGCTAAAGCTTGTTTAGCATTTTATTTTCAAATTTAATGCTTTTACCTTTCATAATTTTAAGCATTCATATATTAAAATATACTTTAATTTATTACATATATTAAAATAAAAATCTTTATATATTTCAGTTTATTATTAAAATATTTATCAGGTTATTTTCGAATCAGTTACAGTCCAAATTAAATCGAAAAGGAAATGGGGAAAAGATAAGCTTAGGAAATCTAGTAAATATATGGAGTGTTTTACGAGGTATAGTTTTAATAGTATTTACAAAACTGATATCTGTATTAAAAAGATGTTCTTCGACTTTTTTGTGTCATGCTAGAATTTTTGTATCCATAATACAAGTTCCTTTAGTTTTTTCATAAAAAAATTGTTGTTTATTATTGTATCTGGTTGAGATACAAATCTTCTTGTTTATATATATATATATATATATATATATATATATATATATATATATATATATATATATATATATATATATATATATATATATATATATATATATATATATATATATATATATATATATATATATATATATATATATATATATATATATATATATATATATACATGCATATATGTGTATATACAGTATTGGACAAAACATTTGCAACCAACATCGAACAATGCTAAAAAGTGTTCCTAACTTTATATGTCTTAAAAATGAAACGAACTATACTACCACAGCAAACAGTTCAGGAGTTTGGACTCATAGCATGCCATGATATGAGCAATCAGCTGACAGGTGACAGCACACAGGCAGAATTTCGTTGACAAGTGCCATTTTGCAGCATACATCACGGAAGTTTTTTAATAATTAAAAGAGGTATCCAGAAGTTTCCAGTAGCATGCAGAAGCTTCCAGAAGTTTCCAGAGGAAGCATCAGGAAGCATTCAGAAGTACCCAGAAACATTCAGAAGCATTCAGACGCATCCAGAAGCTTCCAGAAGTATTTAAAAGAAGCATCTAGAATCTTCCAGAACAGGTTTACACAGGTTTATTTTACTATATAAGAGACATGTAATTCAATCAGTATATGGAAGTCAATCAGTCAGTATTATCAAGACAGTTTATCGAAGTGAGTTTTATCAAAGTGTTTTATCAAAGAACATCAATACCAGAAGTGAAATACAACAAGTGTTTCATTACATCAATACAGTCCACATATATATATATATATATATATATATATATATATATATATATATATATATATATATATATATATATATATATATATATATATATATATATATATATATATATATATATACATATATATACATATATATATATATATATAGATATATATATATATATATATATATATATATATATATATATATATATATATATATATATATATATATATATATATATATATATATATATATATATATATGTATATATATATATATATATATATATATATATATATACATATATATATATATATATATATATATATATATATATATATATATATATATATATACAAACACAAATGCAGCATTCGGTGCAACTTATGACATTTTACTGATTTTGGAATAGGCGAAAGCTTCAGTACATACATTGACTGATTCAGAAGAACTTGTAGGGGAGTTGATAATATATCGGCATTGGGTTGGGGAGGAATCAATATTTTTCATTACTCTTCATTTTACAAAACATTAAAATATTTACAAAACATTGAATTGTAATTAACTGTAAAAAGATTTTAATCTTCTTTATAATTTTGCCGAAATTAATAGTAGTAGTGTCCCTTGGCGCGTATTTGACACGAAACCCTTGGCAGCCATTGCAACAGTGGTATTGGCAAGAAAGAGTCGCAGCACTATTAGAATAAGTGAAGCAATATCTAACGTACGTAAACTTTTAACTAAGTAATGTTAAAGCATATGTTAAAACATACTGAAACATTTATTATGTTTTACAGTTTGATTTTTACTTGAAAATTACATTGCTTCAACCTCTCCTTAATTTTGATCTAACATTTTTTCCTTAAAAACTTACTACATTTTTATAAAATCTACACTTGATGTATGCCGGTGTAGCTCGAGTGGATAAGGCGGCGAACTTCTGAACAAGGAATCAGAGGTGCGACTCCTACCAATGGCGGCTATTTTTTTTAATTTTTTTAATTATTTTAAAATACAAAATATTTTCGAAGTTTTATAAAGATTATATACAAACATATGTAACGTAACGATGTTATGCACTCACAAAAGAAAAGATTTTAAGAATGCTAAAACTTCAAAAAACATTAAAAAAAAAAAATCACCAGGAGAAAAATATGTTGCGTATCTATGATAATTGAGACACTTATGTTATTAATGTGCTCATGTAATTAGTCCTAATTAAGCTGCGGATTGTCTGAAAAAAAAGTTGTCTAAAACTTAATAAAGAAAAAACTTAACAGACAGCCCTGCTACTTGCTGTGGAGGCAAAAAAAAAGCCTGTTGCTAGATAAAACTTTAAAACTTTCTTTTGACAATTAAAAGTTTATTTTGCTACATTAACTTTTTTACTATAAATATTTGTAGCAAAACGCCTTAATTTGCTAATGACGTAATTCAAAAAAAAACGCAATTAAAAATAAAATTGTTTGGAAAAACTCTTCGTAAAACGTTTTTTAAAACGAATAACTTTTATTTAGTTTTTTTTTTTCTTTTGCGCAACTTTCTTTTCAATAAATTTCTTTCAGAATATGACCATTTTTAACAATGCTATAGAAAAAATACCAGTAAATTGATTAGTAGTACTTCAATTATATTAATTAGATTAAATTATATATATATTAAATTATATATTATATATATATTAAATTAAATAGATAAATATATTGATATACAGTTAATACATGTGTTTATTTTTTTTTGAAAAAACTTAGTGACAAAATAGACTAACTAGATAAGTCGTTAAGTAGAATGCTAAGAATATATTTATGGCGGTTATTGTTGTTAAGGGTGATTAATAGGCAAATAAATTAAAAGCTAATCAGGGTTTTGAATAAATTATAAACTAATCATTTGTAAACCTAATAAATAGGAAGATAACATATAATTCAGGTAGACATTGTTTTCACTTTTTCGCCGAACTTTGATATCTTTGATATTAAAAAATATGACCTTTTCAATAATTATAGATGGTAGTGTATTAACCTTTTTTTTCGGAACCACAATCCGTAATGATTTGTATTTTATCAATGTGAACGAAAGTCTATTCAAATATCTAAATATGTAAACTTTAAGTTCTTTAATTATCAATCAGTATTATTATAAAAGAGATGACATCAAATTCTACCGATTTATTTTTACTTAAAAATTTCATTGCGACAATATCTCTTTATTTTAAAGCATTAAATGTTGTTTTTTAAAGTTTAATAAGTTTTCTGTTTATTAAATAGTGTAAAAAGATGATATAGCATTCCAAAGCGATTGGAGTGCTTCGCTTGGGTTCAAAACCTTTTACTTACACAATTTTTTTTTTTTAATTTTTCCCAGTTTTCTAGAAAACAAAGAAAAACAAGTTTAAGTGCATCTAGATGTTATACGCATTACATAAAAATAAAGATATAATATACTATAACAAACCAAACGAAGAGAATTTTTTAAAACGTTTTTTAAAATTTCTAAAAATATAAAAACGCTGTTGGAAAATTGTTGCGCATATATCATGATAGAGATACTTATGTTTTAGGTAATTAGTTAAGTCTGCGAGTTCAACACACATTAAAGAGATAACTTTCTTTCTTATATATATAAAAAAAAAAATTTTTTACATGTAAACTGAAATTTTTATTAAAACTAACTGGTCAAGAGTCCTAAAAAGTACGGAAAGGTATGAAAAAAAAAATTGTATTCTGAAACCTAAAAAAAAAAAAATTAGTTACTCCAGAAGGTGACAAACAGAAAACCCACAATATTTCGCCTAATACGCTAATAGAAATGCTCGAATATTAAGATATAAACAAATATTAAATGATTTTTGTATTACAAAACGTACGCCAACTCTTAAACCACTGTAAAACTACCTTGCGGTTATCTAATTAAATCCACCAAATCCGTTAATAAAAACAGCTTAATTAATAGATTCAAAACCATCTGATTTTTGTATTATGATATGTGCGCCAACTGTACTCTAAAACCAATAAAACTCGGCTATGTGGTCTACATATCGATTATAACAATTGCAATGCGAGGGACGACAAGTAAGTTGTATCTACAAGTTTAATTATTGTAATCTTCACTTAAAAATTTAAACTTATTTTTTAATTATTATGTTAATATGTTTGAAGTTAGTATGTTTTTGACCCAAGAATAAACATTAAGATTATTTTTCAGAAATGAGCAGCCAAGATACAGAAGGTATTCTTTTTATTTTGTATAACATTAATTAATTAAAGAGATAAAAAGAGATGATACGTCAATAAAACTGAGATATTTAGCTTATCATTTTATAAGGAAATTACATTGAGATAATTTTGTATATCTTTAGGCGACGAAAAAGTTTCTGCATTTTTTCGAAGTAAGCCATTTATATATACTATATATAGTAGCAGTTACATATGTTCTAAAAGTGGCGGTGCTGTACTTGATTTACGTGTGAATAAAACGATGATTTATTTTAGCCGTTTTTAATTGAAATCAACCAAGATATGCCGCCCTCCCCTAACCCCGTGAATCAAGTACACCGCCCTAAAATTTAACTAAAATTAAAAAATATATAAATCAATTTTTAGAACTTTAAAAGGGTGGACCCGAAACTCAGTTTTTGTTTATTCCGCTACTTTGATTGATGTTTTTGTAAAGCAGTGAACCTTAAAAACGCGTATAAGCATTATTTAAGGTGTTTAAGCTAGAATTTTATAAAACGTGTTTAAGCTAAAACAGACTTTTAAGTCTTTTAACTACTAAACTTTCACGTAAAATGAAACTTTTTGTGATTTACTGATTAATTTTTAAATGTTAAATTATAAAACTGTGCAACAGTTTTATAATTTAAGACAAATCTTATATGTTTAATTGAAAAAGTGAATATTTTGAAAATTAATTTTGTCTATATATATATTAGATGTTCAAGAGATCAGAGCCGAAGAGCTCTTGCCAATTAAGCTAACTTTGTATGAGAAGGATATGTTACAAAGATATATATTTCACCACTTTCAGCACTTTGTTAATTATAACTTTTTTTAATGTTTAGCGGAAGTAATGGACAAGCTAAGTCAGGAATTTTTTTTTTTTTTTTTTTTTTTTTTTTTTTTTTTTTTTTTGTGTGCAAATACAGTTATGCTTTTTTAGTTTTTTTAAAGTTATTTAGCAACTGACTTTTGTCAGTTGTGACTGTCAGCAAGTGACTTTTGTAACTTTTAAATTTATCTTATTTAGAAAAATTAGAAGATTCAGTTGAGAATCTAAGTAAGCAATTTGTTATTGTTGTTGTCATGCTCTTTATTTTTTTTATTACATATTTATTTAACATAAAGTTATTCTATATATGGCAAGTTAGTTTATTTTAATGTTTATAAGTTTTTCATTTTATTTAGAAAAAGTAGAACTTTCATTTGTGTATTATAGATAAAGATATAGCATTTTACTTTCAAAAAAAAGGTCTACTCTTTGGTCTTTTAGCTTTTTTGATACAATTTTTAGCATTTTTTTATAGGGCTTATATTTCAACAACTAAGTAAGTTACTATAATGTTCTTCTTTATTTTATTATTTTTTTTTTTTTGTCACTTTTTTCTTTTTTTCTTTTTTTGGTTTGTTTTGTTTCGTGATTGTTATTTTTAGCTTTTGTTTTGTTCCAACTTTATTTATAGATTTCCTAAAGTTGACAAATATTCTGCATGTTAGTTTCTTTCTTAATGTTAATGAGTTTTTTTTTATTCTATTTAGAAAAATTAGAAAATTCAATTGGTAAGCAAAGTTCACTTATGTTTCATTTTGTTTAATTTTATTACACATTTTTTGATGTTTGTGTGCGGTTTTATCACTTAAAATAAACTGTTTAATTGATAAGTATATGTTAGTTTATGTAAATATATTTTTTACCTCCACTATAGCGTCATCTGCAGTACCATCAGGTAATGTGTTTTGCATTCATATGCAGTTTTATGAGTGTTATGTGTATTGAAATTTAAGTATTTTTTTATTCATGTTTTCATGCAATTACATAAATGTTTAACATATGTTACTTTATACACTTTTTTTTTTTTTTTCACTTTCACAATAGCATCAATATCATCTGCAGTACCATAAGGTAATATGTTTTGCATAATTATGCAGTTTTATGAGTGTTATGTGTATAAAAACTTAAAGATTGCATATTTTATTTTGCACATCACTTTATTTGTTTATTTTTTTGTCTCTACATTAACACCTCAAGCAATAATATCTGGTAATCTGTTTAGCATACTTATGCAGTTTTATGGGTTTTATGTGTATTGAAACTTAAATATTTTTTTTTCATGTTTTCATGCAATTACATAAATGTTTAGCATATGATACTTTATACACTTTTTTTTTTTTACTTTTACAATAGCATCAATATCATCTGCAGTGCCATCAGGTAATGTGTTTTGCATACTTATGCAGTTTTATGAGTGTTATGTGTATTGAAATTAAAGATTACTTTTTTCATGTTTGTTATCCATTACATAAATGCTTAACATATGTTACTTTATACACTTTTTTTTTTTACTTTTACAATAGCATCAATATCATCTGCATTACCATCGGGTAATGTGTTTTGCATACTTATGCAGTTTTATGAGTGTTATGTGTATTCGAACTTAAACATTACTTTTTTCGTGTTTGTATGCAATTACATAACTGTTTAATATGTGTTTGTTTATATACTTTTTTATTTATTTCCGCAATAGCAACAGTATCAACTGCAGTACCACCAGGTAATGTGCTTTCCATACTTATGCAGTTTTTCCATACGTATGCAGTGTTATGTGTATTGAAACCTAAACATTTCTTTTTTCATGTTTGTATGCAATTACATAACTATTTAATATATGTGTTAGTTCATATTTTTTATTTATTTCTAAAATAGCAACAATATCTGCAGGACCATCAGGTAATTTGTTTTGCATGCTTATGCAGTTTTATGGGTGTTATGTGTATTATGTGTATGGGTGTTATGTGTATGCAGTTTTATGGGTGTTATGTGTATTTGTGTAGACATTGCGTATCATTATTATTACATTACTTTATTTATTTATTTTTTTGTCATAACTTTTTTTTTTAAAGTCTAAATAGTTTTAAATAATATTTTTATTGGTTGTTTTGTGCAGTACTGTATTCAAATTTATTTCTTTTTTTGTTTTTATTTTTTAGCATCGCATCAAGATTTCCTGCGATATCGCTCCCAGCACCTAGGTCCGATATCTCAAAGAGCTTTTTACCGGTGGTGTCAATATGGGGGAGATGATCCTTCCATTAGATGGAGAAGACAAGCCCTATATGACACCACTGGTAGAAGGAGGGGTGCTGGGAAGCGGTTCAACTCTTTTAATTTCTACCAGTAGCTTTTTTAAGCTACTGGTAGAATTATCTTCATCTTTAATTATAAAGAAAATTGACTTTTTAAAAAAATGTTTTTTTATTTTCCAATTTTTTATTTTTTTAATTTTTATACTTTTACTATTTTATTTTTTTGATTTTTAATTCTGTTTTTAAATCCTAAACTTACAAAAGAACTCTTATGTTAAAAAAGTTTTTAATAGTTTGTCTGTAAGTTTTTTTATTAATTTACGTTTTTTATCTTTTTATCTTCATTTTTAATTTTAATAATACTAAATTTTCTTTTGTATTAACTTTTACTTGTTAAGTGTTATATAGTTTTTGAAAGATTTGGTAAATATATTTAAAATTTTTCTTTTTCTATGATATCTGTTTAATGTCTAATATATGCACAATACACCTATTATTCTCTTTACATTATTCTCTTTAGATATATAAAACAGTATTTAAAATCAGTTGTCAGCCACATGTGGTCTATATGATGCAACATGTTTGCAATTGTTGGCATGTCATTTTTAATTTAGTATTATTAAAATTAATTTGTAACTAATTTTGCTTTTTAATATTACCATTAATATGACTTTTAAAATAATAAAATTTTTTATTTGTTTCAAAAAACACTGTTTTATTACTTACAATATAGTGTGTTATTACAAAATACTTCTGGCTTTTTCTCTCTTTTAAACCAGTTTAGTTATAATTTTTGTTTACAAATTTTATTTGGCGCTATACACATAGTTTCATAGGTTTAAACTGATAAATAGCACTTTATTGTTTTTGTTCATTTTAGATTAGTATAGCAAAAAATTAATCAGATATGCGTTTATATATCTTTATTTATATTTATGTGCTTAAGTTTATATAAGTTTATATTAAGTTGTTTACATGTGAAAAGTGATGTTACTTGGCAACGTGTAGTGCAAGATTGTGATTCTTGCTAGCCAAGCGGTGTTACTAATTAGTGGTGTTACTTGGCACTTAATGCCAAGCGGTGTTACTAAATTGTGGTGTTACTTGGCAGCGTTTAGTGCCAAGCGGTATTACAAGTGTTGAGCTAAGTTGTGTTGTCTAGCTTTTTTAATTATTCTGGAAACACATAATCTGAATATTTTGTGTTATGTGCAAATGTGTTGTATAAAAGTATTTTATGCTATGTGTATTCAGTAGCATAGGCAGGGTCTTTTGATGCTTCAGATAGCACTTTCAACTAAACTTAAGTGTATTCACGTTTATAGAATTAAAATACTTTGCAAAAAATTGATGTTGTTAAAGCTTAGGAACAAATGTCTAAAAAAAGTGTTTTTCCTAACCTGAATTTTTTTAGACATAACAAAGTTAAACTCTTTAACAGCTTCTAAATATATATCTGAAACAACAAAAATCCCGCCTACACTACTGGTGTTATTGTTTGTCATTCTGTAATGTTGTTGTGGTGTTTTGTGTTGATAGACAGCTTGGCTTACCTTCACGGTGGTGTCTATCGTTAAAAATGATTATTAGTTAGCTTCATTACTGAAACTTACTCCTAATCATTCACTAAAAGCCAAGAAATACTTTAAGAAAAAATGCTGAATTTTTTTGTGTCAATAACAATTTTTATCTTTACAATACTGATAAAACTGAATTTTTTTTTAAAAAAAGAGTATTTCCAGCCTTCTAACCAAATATTAGAGACTTTTACAAAAGCACTCTCACAAAGTAAGTGTTTAATATTTATTTAATATTACTAAATTTTGTTTCGCATTTTTCATTTTTCAAATGAATTAACATAAAACAAATAAATGTGCATTCAGTGTTATCAATAATGATTTTATTTCATTTTTAGATAATGCTTTTATAATCAATTTAAAAGTCTTTCAAATCGTTAATCATTTTCTAAAGGCGAAGAAGAAGAATCATCAATCTTCATACCATTTAATAAAGCTATTTTAATAAAACGCAATACAAATTGTTGTAAATTAGTATTTGAATAATTTTCACATTGTTACCTTATTTTGCAGTTTCTTATCACTTTGTATTGAATTAACTAAATCCAATATTACAGTTCCTTTTATCAAGTACTTCACATTTTCTGTTTTTGTTTTATGCAGAAAAACAGATAAAGTTAATTTATTTGACTTGCCTAGCTACTTATTTTACACGCCTAGCCACAGTGAGTGTGCATAAATCAACAGAGGATTTGGGTTTGGGCAGGTTGTCTTGAACTAAATGATTTACCTTCTTCATGTTAAGCTCTAAATATAAATATACGGAAAAGGTGCATATGTGAATTTTATTTTTTTTAGCACATAATCTGTTGATCACTAAAAAATATTAGAGGGAGAAATAGAGATAAGGTAAATGTGGAATAGAGTTTGTCCTTTTAGGTGAAAAACTATTTTATAATCTATCTTCTATATAATAATGCCGAACTTAATAGTGTTAGTAGAAAGGGTCGCAACACTTTTTTTATAAGAAAAATTGTATGCAAATATCTAACGTACGTAATTAAGTAATGATAAAACATACTGAAACATTTTTCAAGTTTTATAGTTTGACTTTGACTTAAAAATTGCATTGCATTAACCTCTTCTTAATTTTTGATCTACAGCAATTCTGTTTAAAACAATTTTTATATATTTTTAAAATTTCGATATTTGATGTGTCAGCATGGCCGAGTGATTAGCGAGCTAAACTTCTGAACGTAATAGTCGTGGTTCAAATTTACCACCAGCGATTTTTTTCTTAGAATCTTTAAATTACAAAATATTTGTGAAGTTAAACAAGTTAAATGTTATACACTTTAACCGTTTTTTCTTTTAACCGTTTTTTCTAAAAACATCAATAAACAGGGCGAAAATTTGTTGCGTGTGCGTCACGATTTTGATATTGTTCTCACATAATTGGTCCTAATAAGCTACGGATAGTCTTAAAAAAAAAAGTTCTAAAACCTAATAAGGAAAAAACTTGATAAAACCGTCCTGCTACTCCACATGGTATTGCAGTGGAGGCAGGGGAAAAAAAAGCAATTAAAAGGTTTTTCGCTATATTTTATTTTTTGCTATAAATATAGCCATATTAAAAAAAATGTATTGAAATTTTTTAGGCGCGGATTTGAAGCCTTGCACAGCAACTCTGATGACTGCGCACTTAACTTGTGAGCTATCAAAGTTATGCATGTAGTTAGGCGCTTCAACATTTTTAAAAAAATGTAAAATGAAAACAAAATAAATACTATAAGTAAGAGCTAAATAATAACGTTTAAAAATTACCAAACTTTTTGTTATATTATTATTAGTTTTTCAACTTTTAAAGCACAAAATTTATGATTTATTTTTTTGCATGACTTTTGACGCTTTAAGCAACTAACGTTTTAAAGAATTGCATTACCGCTTCCGTCTAATACAAAGGTAACTATAAAAGACCGTTATTATTCAAAACTAAGCATGTAATAATAATAAATATAGTAAATAGTAACTATTGAAAATGGCTAGGACGCAACCATAAACCATGTTCCATGGCTGGTCTAAAAGTAGGAAGTAGTTTAGTTCAGAATTTTTTAATAAAATAAATAAACGGGGTTTAATAAGCTATATACGTATGCGGAAAAAGTGCGTATGTTAAAGTTTTTTTTTGCTCTCAAAGCAAATTATTTTAATGAATTTTTTTCCACCGTTTACTATAAAATATTGAAGTAAATAAGGAACAAGTAAAGAAATGATTGACGTGGAGTAGATAAATATAGAAGTAGAAGAAAAGACCTGTATTTACCGATACGGACAGCTAGATTAAGAAAATAAGGGAAAAGGTTTGTGTGGAATAGACTTACAAAGACCCGTATTTTATGGGTCGATTCAGCTAGTATGTAATATTTATGGAACTCATTTTATATAAATAAATGCAATAATATAAGGGAATTTGCTGAAAAATAAATAACAAAGAAAAGTTTCATTTGTTAGTTCATTAAATTCTTTACATTAATATATAGAAAAAATTTGTAGGGCTGTCACCTGCTTAGTTAAAAAGTGTTCAATCGTTGTTTAACAAAGCTGGGAGATATAATTTAAAAAACTTTGTATAAAGCAATTATAGGTAAATTTTAAATGTTGATATAAAATGTTTGTTTTTCTAATTTTATTCCATATTCAAACGATAACTACTTTTTAAAAATTGTTATATAAATTAAACGTGTAATGTTTATACATAGAGTTTACCCTGAATATATTTGTATAAATGTATGCATATGTAATATGCTTTGTATGTGCTAATAAAATGCATAAAAGATTTATATCGTATTTATTTTTTCGAAACATTGGTGTGACATGCAAAAAAATTCGATTCGGTCAATACGTGGATACGCGATCATTTGAAGAAAGCTCCTTATAAAATAAGATTAAAATTATTTTATAACGTTTTTGTATAATTTCATAATAAATGAATACAAAATAATTAAACATTTATCTTTATGCAGATTTTGGTTTTCACACCTAAACTTAAATCATAAAAAGTTTTTTCTATAACCTTACCGTATAAAAATATTTTTAAACGTTTACAAAAGGTTCTTGTGTCCACTGGATGATTCCTGTATTGATTTGAGTAATCTAATTCTTACTTATTTCACATTTGCTAATTCCTACTTATATACTGA